ACACACACGTACATGTCATTTGAACCGCAATGGCACCCTAGTGCACTTTTTGCGATGCAAGCAACCAAGACTCTCGTCTCGCAAGAGGTTCCTTAGAGCGTCAAAGGTGTAATGAGGCGGACTCAGCTCTTGTCTGGTTGTGCAATTGTATGTTTTCAGCCAAGTGACCATTCCACAAGGGTACCCCAAAAATGTTTCTTGCTGATCAAAATCCAATGTTTTGTTTTCCAGAAATCAAGTTATGCTTCAATCCCATCATTCACGTGATTCATTTGAAGGTTTCTCAAAAGTGGCAAATATATATATATATATATATCTATACAGTGAGACCATTCAAGCAGGCAAAACACAAAGCATGTACGTTTACGATTGTGTAAATTACAATATTTCATTCATCTGAAATATGAATATCCATATTTTGGGATAGTTGCCCCTTACTAACCATGATTCCAGTGAGGTGGCAGTGAGGTCACTATAATTTACCCAAATCAATTGCCAGCTAAGTTGCTAGACATAACTCCAATAACTAAGACTTCTGGTAGATATATCGAACTAGTTAATGGGCCTAAAATCCCACAAACATAACTGGGGGGTGGCACCACATTGCGGCCATCAAATATTGTTTATCAATAATCTTAACTCAATTATTGATAGTAATTATTAAGGCTTCATATTTAGGAAATTACACAAATTGGTAGTTGATGGGCTTATAAACTAACTAAAACATAATAACTGGAGGTTTTCCCAGTTTTTTTTCCCCATGCATAAACTAAGTCCATTTGCTTCGAACATGTTCCATGCAAAGCTTCGAATTCTTCACCTCCAACTCCAGCAACGTGTCCTCCGCCGTCACCGTCCTGTGGCCCACGGTCGGAACATGGGAGCCGAAACTTGGTGAATCTTCGATACCTGGCTAAAAATAGGCTGGGTAGATAATGTCATAGATACCTGGAAAAAAACACATAAAAACACTATTTTTGAATATTTTTGAGCTGGTGAGTACATATTTGACCATTGATAGCAAAAGATTGAAGTAGTAGTTCGTATCTAACAAAGGGTTGACCCAGGAACGTGGCCTTTGGCTTTGCAAACAAAATGTTGGATGGATATGATACCCCCTGGTAAATTAACCGTTCGAAACTGAAAATAAGCCTTACTTAGTGGTGTACAGTAACTATATAATCTTCAAACCTCTATCTGCCAGGGTCTAAGTCAATGTCATTTACTCGAGGGTAAGCATCATAATAAATAGTTAGCAATGTAGCAATGTGTAAGTAAACAAGTAGTATAGAATCTTAGTGTACAGATTACATTCCATTTTTTGGGACAGGATTAGAGTACTAAAGTACCAACGGTTAAGCCGAGCCAGTCAATGATAGAGCATTCCTATGACCAAACCGAAATTTGGTGGGTCTCTTCAATGTGTTTCAAGGTACGGGTTCTCTATACTGGATTTCAGCTACTGTGGCAAACAACGAGCCATACTGGATTTTATTACCATGATATATCACAATTGCTGGTTTTTGCAAGCCCCATTTTTCGGATGGATCAACTTGCCTAGATTGAAGTGGTTCTATTTGGGTGGCCATACCCATTTTCAAATACACCAGCCACTGGATATAACATGCTCACAGCCCGCTCAAACATGCCAAACATCACAAGGTGAACTTGTTGTCCGCATCCCAGACGGGATTCAAGTTGTTGTTGATCACCTCATCTGCAAAGAAAAACAAAACACCGCAAACGGGGATCTTTGAGGATAAAGACATGTGCATCAAAGCAAAAGACATATTTTACACATTCCAAGCATGAGGATTCAACAAAAACATGACCTCATTTGAGCACCAACAACAGGGTTTCACCGTGCGTTTCCCCAAGTGACCCTCAAAAAAATCCCATTACATGTTGGGCCCTATCTCATTTATACGAACGTTAAGTACGAATAATTTGGAATGGTATCAACAAGATGGGCAAAATCATAATCCCGGCTGAACCAGGTAGGTTTAGGTTCATGACACCTTGCAACATCATGCAACATCATAGATTATAACCAATCAACTCCTATCAACTGCCAATGTATCAATGACATCCAATCGAATGCTCGTGACCATCAATTTCTCAGGAAGTGCCCCGGGGGCACCACATTCCAATCATTGAATATGGGTTATCAATGATCCTAACTATGAAAGGTAATTATCAAGGGGTTCAGAATTAGGAAATTAGCATTGTTAACCCTTAATAATAATAATGAAAATAATAATGGTAAGTTCCACAAATCTTAATTATACTAAGGGTAACAATATAGACATTGTTACCATGTCCTTTCAATCCTCTTCCCAGGCGCTGGTGTCAGGAATTCCTGCTGGGACCAGCTGAAGTGCTGGGTCAGGGACCAAACGGTGAACTGTAGGGGATATGTAGTGTATGTTGGTAGTGGAGATATGATTTCAGGATTTGAATATTCAGATATCTATCTAATGGTAATACTGTATGTATGTGTACATATATATGTATGTATGTATGTATATATATATATATGACGCATGAATCCATTGGGAATATTATAAGGATATAATGAGGAGGATACCTACAATATAGGAAACATGTGAGTACGATAATGGTTATAATATATATATATATGACAATAAACAACCTCAAATAATTATAGACCTTAGGGATATAATGGCATATTGAAGCAGTTGGTGGTGCCCATAGTTGGCAAAGCTGGTCAATAACTCCCATAACTACGGCGGGCTTAGTTATAGCGGTTGTAAACCAGCATATAACTGGGGCGCACCACCCAGTAGGTACTGCAAAACTCTGCACCATCCCGAAAAAAACATGTCAAAGGCTTGCTAAGCATGGAACCCGACAGTTATACATGGTTGGAAAGTTTTATCTATGGCTACAATGGCTTTCCATGTTATAGTATCCAATCATCCTCTGGCTTCATCAAACATGGCTAGTTGCTCTTATTCATTTTAACCCCGAAGGGGGATGGTTTGATGCAGAGACAGCTAGATCCTCCGATTAAAAGAAAAAGTGAGTTGTAGTAGCCATAGCAATCATTGGGGACCCCAAGAGACACTATCACGCAAGGGAAACCACCCAGCTAAATGGAGGTATATTTGGATGTAGTCTACAGAAAATACTGTAAATGATGAACCGTAATTACAACAATTGTTTACTAACTGTCCTTCTGAACATTGTAATTAGGGCTTGTCATCTGGATCTAGCGGACTTACCACGTGAATGTACAGAAATAAATCACTGACCTGTGAATACGACCCTTAAGAAACAATCGCTGGGCAATGCAACATACCCCCTGGTAATTTAACATAGCTATTGAAAATGATCATTTATAGTTGATTTACCTATTATCAATGGTGATTTTCCATAGCTATGTTAGTTTGCCAAAGGGTATATATTCCCGTTTACAGCAGAAACAGAAACTACTATTAAATGCCCAACATATGTTTCTACATAGCCGAAAAACTCGGATGTGGACCGTTTCTCAACTTGGGTAAAGGTCACAAATGGGGCACCCTTTTGGACCCATCTGTCTTGGAATGACATCCTTAGTGCCCCGTCTCCGTTTATGATTTGTCTATATTTTATTCGGTTAAAAAGTGAATTTGCGGTATAATGTAAAGTTGAAATTCATCAGCATTGTGTAGTATATGCCCATTGTACTATATATATATATGTTAAAACTGGTGGCTGACCTACCAACACCTGTGCATTCCTATGCAACAACCAATCGGGCTTCTTTTGATCTCGAGCGGAGATAGAGTCCCTGCGGTCATGCGACAACTGGCATAGGTGAGAGGTGCTCACACAAGCTGAATTCAACACTGGTAATAATTCTTTTATATAAATCATCTTCTGTTTTCTCCAGTGTTGTAGATGGAAATTCAAATCTGCGTCACCCTGCAGATCTCACACAGCTTGATACAAAACTGCTCTCACAAAGTCATGCAAAACTGATCTCTGGAGATCACTTCTTCAAACGACGGGTCATGGTGGTGCCGGGAATCAGTGGACCCTGATTCGCACCTTCATCAGCAAAATGATGGCTCAGAAAATCACACAGGTCTTTGAGCTGGCCGGAAGAGGAATTGGCGCGAGACTTGCACCACTTCACGTAGCTCACTGCACGATCATCTGTCGACAAGACCAGATCAGAATAGCTCATACCTGCATTCTTGTACTGGCCGAACTCAATCAAAGTCTCTCCCCATGTGGCTACGTCCGTGACACCTGGTGGAAAAGGTGGCAGCTTGATGCTAACCTCAGGCTCAATGTCAGGAAGGCTCACGGCGTTCACAAAGGGCACAGTGCCCATGGTGCCTGAGTAGGCTGTGCACGGAGCTGCTGAGCTTGCAGCCATGGCCTTGGGCTTCATCAGTCGCTTGGCATCATGAGACATCAAAGCATCTTCGCGACGCTTAGCTCCATCTGTCATAGCTCCAGAGCTGGGCGCAAACTCTGATGCGGACCAGATATCCACGGATTCTCCGGTGGCTGGATTGACGAAAAGGCCCGTGTTGGGGTCATACTCTGAGAGCTCATCATCGATATCATCCAGTGGCTTGCTGATGTATATCGCCTTTGACTTTGCCTTTGCCAACAAACGCTGGAGCTCCATAGACTCTGCCGGAGTCAGGGACATTGCGAAGGAAATGAGCAAAAAGGGTGGTGAGAAGCTAGGTCAAGCTTCGATACACCTCCTACAATGGATAAACACTAGAAAAAAGGGGCTCCCAAGCACCAAACATGCACAACTGCTCACATCCTCAGCGGAAACAAACTTATTTATGTCACTGGCTTAAGTGACCTGATTAATTATCATAAAAGGAGATTTGGACATGTTCCACTGATCGAAAGGCTCTCGGCAGGATGCTGTGCACTCTAAAGACTGACCCTCAAGACATCTGCAGATTATTCCTAGCAATCATTATGGAAAAAGTCAGAGTGATACATCTTACCCCTTTGAGAAGTCAGTTTCCCCCAGACGTCTCAACTGCTTTCTGGGCACTCTTCTCACGGTTTTGCGCTCGAAAGGCACGTTCAGCTGCTTGCTGCGCCAGGACATGGTCTTCGGGAGAAATCTGATACGATGCAGCACGAACGCATGAGCGAAGCAGATCGCTAGGCTCCACCTTATCCTTGGTAAGGCCATCAGCTATCATACGATTTGTTGGAAGCCAACGAATTTGTGCAGACAACAGCTTGATGGACTCTCTGATGATCACAATATCGATACTGGTCCTACGGTCATCCACTGCAGTGGGCGATGAAGGAGATATTAAATGATCATACAAAGACTTACAGTCGGTGGCTAAGATGGCTGGTCTCTTGGCCAACAAGGATCGGCACATGCTGGGGATGACGCTTCCGTCAAGAGCTTCACTTAAAAGTAGATTTAACCATTCAACCGATCCAGATGCAGTTGCAAGTGCTTGAGCTTCACCGCTTAGTGTTGAGCTGACAGCCCTAGGCAAATTGCTGGTGTCCATGGCGAAATTTCTCCGTTGTGCATACGCTTATCCACAAAAGCCAATATGTAACCTGCTTGAGTATGGGAACCTCTATTGGCAAAAGCAGCATCTGAATGACAACACACACAGAGATTTTCAGGGGAAATGGATTCAAACCGAATGGAAAGCTCCTTATGCATCTTGGCTCGACGAATTGCGTTGTTTGCATCGCGCAAATGCCTAATCCTAGGTGCAGGAAAAGCTTGCTGGCTGAGGCTGGTCTGTACTGCCAAGTCTGGTCGCGACTGACTGGCTAGCCAATTGAGAGAGCCGTTGATGGCCCGCAAAACACGAATTTGAGATTCTGTCAACAGGTCGTCAGGCGAGGCACTCTTGGGAATTGTGGCTGGCTTAAGTCTTTCAGCAAATAGCTTCTGAGACATCTCAATTACTTTGGTTTTCTTATGTTGAACATAATAAGCCCCACAAAATTCTCCCTCATTGACTCGCCACTTCCTATATGGGAATCTCGCACGTAGAGCTGCCACGGCTTGTTGGAAACGCTCTCCTTGGCCTCCAAGTGCAGTATCATCCACATGTACCCCATAACACCAACCAACTTGTTTTGCTCTCTGAGAAAGTAAAGACAAGGGTCAAATTTGGATCGCTCCCAACCAACGGTCACAGCTTCGGAATCAAAAGTACGATGCCACGCCAAAGGAGCATCGTTTTGTCCATAGACGTTTCCCACGACTTCCAAAATGGCGTCAGGTGGCACGCCCGGAATGCCTCCTGGAGGCTGTCTTGCAAACAGAGGTCTAAACTTTGCTGGCAGCTCGCCAGCTTCCAGAAATGCACCTTTGATATCCCCTAACTGCAAATCCCATTTGTGGGTGGCTATGAGTTGCATCAACAGCATGCGACCTGTTTGACTCAAAGTTGGCGACTGCAGCAAACCATCTTGGACCTTCTTGTCGAGGTCCGGGTCCAGGTGACCCTGAAGACACCATCGGCTCTTGACTCGATACGTACTGGAGTCATCTTCTACAATAGGCTGATTTTCTTCCATAGGCTTTCGAGTGATCACAAACCTACTGCCGATGAAACGGTCTGGATAGCGTGTCAAGAGTTGGGCGGCACGTTTGCCATAGTGGACTTTGACAGCATGTTTGTCGACAATGGTGTTCCATTCAGCTCTTTTGGATTCATCGATCAAACTTTGCAAATCAGGATGGTTATGACTGTGGTGCAGTTCTTTACTGGTTTTCTTTTGGAGATAGTTTGCTAACAAACACTCAGTGGTGATTTTGGGATCTTCCAGCTGCCTGCACAACTCAGTCACGTCTTCAACAGACAACACCTCGCACACAGCATCGATGCGGGGCTTGTTGCTGGGTGGTTCAACAGCATCGGAATCTTCAAGGACACGCTTGTGCTGGTCTCCTACCCTAGGTGAGGAACTCTGAGCAGGTGAGGCTGATGCAGTTGCTGGATTCGTGGCATGTTCAATCAACTTAGGAACAACTTCCTTCATCATGTCCAAGAAATCCTGTTCTCTCATACTTGGCGGCCTGTACAAAGCAGCAGGTCCATTTTTTGATGGAACACGTCGCAAAGGGCCATAGCTTGATGCTGAATCTGAAGAACCAGTCATGTTGGGTTCTTCAACAGTGACATCATCAGGTGGTGGATTCGCCGGGAACTGGTCTGGTTCATCATGCTCATCGGAGTCTAGAGACCTAGCTTTGGGATTCACAGTGGACCCTGAAACTGGTTCCATGGACACATCAGCATCACCATTTGCCGGAATGGAAGGTTCTGACGCAACCTCTGGGCTTTCCGTGGGCTGACTCTGATCTGCGGGACCGGATGCCATTGGTGGATACAACCCTGGGACTAGGTCTATGTATTGGCTACTCTTAAAAGTACCCCCTTCCAACATATCTTTTACCCCCAACAACTCCGTTTGTGGTGTGGTAACCATAGTCTTTTCTTCGGTGGTTGCTGGTCTCATTTGCTCGGGCGCTACACGGAAGATCTGTCGGCGATGGGCTACTATATAGTTTTTGCCAATGCTACCAATGACCACTGCTGTACCATACCATTGACCTCCTAGCTGGACCTTACCTTGCTGATACTTTTGGGCTCTCCAGTATGCAATCAGGTCACCAGGCACAAATTGCTGTTGCAGGCGTGGTCTGGCTGAAAAGGCACGCCTAAGCGCTTGGTCATCTTGGGTCTGCAAAACAGCTTGACGGGCTGCAGCACGTATGGCCTGTGATCGGGCCACAGCTTCATCGGACAAACCAAGTGTTGCTGGTATGACATGAAGTGGTTCGTTCATGAGATCGGAAGGGATGTCAGGATTTTTCCCAAACACATGCTGATGTGGTGTATATCCGTAGGATTGAATCATGGTGTTCTTCACATGGCTATGAGTTACACAATCTTCCCATTGTTCCTTGTTGTGTGGTATGAACTCCGACATTGTACGATCCAAAACCCTGGAAAACCAACCACCATGAGACTCTGTACGCCCCAACTGCCAATGTGCTTCGCCAGCAATTTGATGTACATGAGTCCCTAATGACTCCAGGTAGCTCTGAAAAGGTTCGCCCAGATTGGTCTGTGCCTGATCTACAATGACCTCCTTTGGAGAACCAAAAATTCGGACCCAGTGATTGGCAAACTCTTTGCGCAAAACATCGGAGGTTTCCCGCTCATAGAAGGGAATCATGAGTTGGTAACAGCTGGCTTGATCAACGATGTTGAGGGCCTTAACCTTCATGTTGGGGGACCAACCATTCAAGTTTTTTACATCAATACCAACCACTTGATTGAATTCCTGTGGTCTGGAACTCTTGGCAGGCAGTGGCACGTGTGGCTTGATTTGAGCTTGGCAAAAATTGCACTTGTGCTTCTGAGCCAGTTGGATCGCGCGATCTGAGGCCTTGGCATGCTTGAAAATCCTAACAAGATCATGCGTGGGAGGATGACCTAAGTTCCTATGGACTTTGTCAATCACCTTCATCAAATCCTCATCACTCTTGTCGGCTGACAGATCGGGCTTGGCTGCAAGAACTTCGTCCTGCTGCTTGCTGGACCACGGAGAACACACGGCAAGACACTGCTGCTTCAGTTCCATGTATCGAGGCACTGTGTCCATCACGGATTCCACAAAATTGGGTGTGTATTTCCCGGCAAAAGTACTGATTCGGCCCACAGCTGGATCTGACCCTGCAATGGTCTGATGGCACTCATGTTTCGGCTGTTTGGAGCCTGGACACTCCTTGGCTAAAACCCTCATGTTCTCATGGGTGACAAGTAAGTGAGTGGCCTTACGAATCAACTTATCACTACCGGGAATGCGTAACCCAAAACGACACATGTGACATGACAACAAATGATGTTCATTCACGAGTGCACGGACCTCAGGGTAGGTCCACAGCTTGGAACCCTTCGGATGCTCAAAAATGGCCCGACCTCCAGCTTGCACCTGTTGTTCAAACAATTTGCAACAGAACCTGATGAACAAACGGCTGCGTCGAACTCTACGAAGATACTCATTGGGATCCATAGTGCAAGCATTAAGGTTGAACCATCCACCTTCGTCAGTGCATGGTGGGCTGAGCACAAGCAGGTCTGGCGGTGCCCGCTTGAGCTCATCAGTCACCTGTTCTCTCACCTCTGCTTTGGTAAAATCAAAGCCTGTGGTCAAATCATATGAACGGCAAGAACCGCCCACTCCTTCAACCAACGGTGCAAAACGCGGTGGGCTGAAAACTTCGGCAACTAAGAAGGGTTTATCATCAACATTTGATCTGACCTCAGTTGGTGAACTTCGGATTTGGGCATCTAACTGACGCTGGCAATGGGCCGGCAGACTCTCAATTGTCGCTACTGTCTCCTGCGGGATGACATGAAACTCAGTGACCACATGAAAAACTTCTTGGGGTATTGGATGACGATATCTTGATTTCTTGTGGTGAGGTTGAATCCATTCATCAAACAGAACTTCATTGTTGTCAGCATTCATGACCCTACGTCGTCTTATAGATTGCCAGTTGGGACCTTGACTACCAGTGGTGAGTGTGTGACTAAGGTATGAATCAGCCCTGGACCAAACTTGTAAATCAGCTGAAACTCCTGGGTCGGCGGAGTGCACATCCATGGCTGCGGATGGCTGTGTGGGACTGGCAGGACATGTCTCTTGCTTGGGCACGGAAACCTTCTCATGCAGCATGACTTCAGAGAAATCTTCAGTCGCATCAGGAGCAGGGTTGGAAATGCTACCCAAAACATCAATGACATACTGCCCGGCCTCATTCGATAACAGAGGAACAGTCAAACGTTCTGGAAAAAGTGACATCTCGTTCTTCCCAAAATCAATCACAGCCTGTAAAGTCTGCAGAGCCCGGCGTGAAATCAGTAATGGAGCAGCCCCCTTGACAATGGCTGCCTTGATACTTCCAGTCTTTCCAGAGATCACTACTGGCAGTTTGACTGCCAATTCCGTGGTTTCACGCTGGCCGTTTCCAAACTTAAAATGATTGACCTCAGCAAAGGGCTCAGGTACTGGAATGCCACGAGACTTCCAGAGCTTCGTGAAATCTGACAACGTCTCTTGTCCCACAATTGTGCGACCACATCCAGAATCGATCACACCATATCCTGGTGAACTGACCAGGAACACCTCAGTTGATGTCGCAGGCACTGATTGCTCAACCTTTGTAGCACGTCGACTCCTCAGCCATTGCAACATGCTGAGGCCAGAGAACTTTTCGTCAGCCACCGTAGCAACAAATGTCTCCGAAAACTGCTCAACCAGTGCTACTCCTGAGTCGGAACCCTTCGAACTGGACCCAGATTTGGAACCTTTGCCCTTTCCTTTTGCAGCCTGCTTGCATTCCCTGGACCAATGTCCAACTTGTTGGCACTTATGGCAGCGCGTTTTGCGCTTGAGCTCCTCGATCTCCACGCGATAGCTCTTTCGGAGATCAGAAGCAGCACCAAAACGTCGATTCTTTTGCAAACGCCCTAGCTGGCTCACGGCGCTTGTCTTTCCAAGAAACGGCTAGTGCTTCTGCCACCTCCGTCTCCTCAAAAACTTCAGAAGGCTCTTCGGCAGGAACCTCTCCATGTTCGGCCAAAAAGGCCTCCACCTCATGAGACAGTGTGTCGTCGTCCTCTTCGATGGTGTCCAGATCTTCCTCAGCTTCCACCAGGCTAAGTCCAAAACTCTTCCGCTTTGGTACAGTAAAATCTGGATAGCACGACCTCATGGCCCTGCCTATGGCATCACGTTTCAGACTTCCTCCACTGCGGGCCAAAACTACCGCACGTTGTTCGTCACTCAAACCTGAGCGATTCAGAATGAGCCACCCACGAGCCTCATCTGGAAAATCGACCTGGCACTTTCTCTTGCATCGGTCAAACATCTCGCCAGCTCTAGAGATCCAGACTTTCAATGATTCACCTTCAGTTGCACGTAAACCAAACACAGTTGTGAGTGTTTCACTCATTTCATCGGAGGAGTCCTTTTGTGGAAACCTGGCATCGAGAAGATCAAACAGGGTCTTCTCGCCGTCAACCTTCTGATACTCGCTAGGATCCAAGTGTTCTATGCAGTCGAGGGCCTTACCGGCCAGCAGGGTGTATACGTAAGCTCCACGAGCCTCTTTGGGAACTTTTGAATCCAGTGTCATCAACTTGTTGGAGACCCATGTTTTCCATCTCTTATACTCCAGTGGATCCTCATTCTCGCCAGAGAAAATTTTGGCTGACACTGGGTCAGACGGCAGCGATGCACCAGCCATGGCGCTCACACAAGTCACCTAGGAATCCTATCCTAGGGGAGCCTCCCGTGGGAGGCTCCGCTACCAGTGTTAAAACTGGTGGCTGACCTACCAACACCTGTGCATTCCTATGCACCAGGCAATCGGGCTTCTTTTGATCTCGAGCGGAGATAGAGTCCCTGCGGTCATGCGACAACTGGCACAGGTGAGAGGTGCTCACACAAGCTGAATTCAACATATATATGCACAGTTCTTATATACAGGTATAATAAATACGTCTTATATTATATGATTATATTGTATAAATACATCGGATATTGAATCATTAAGACAACGTGTGACCAAGTTGTGAACATGATGTCATTGGAGGGGGCAATGCATGTATATATATATATATAATGTATATGTACATAATATATATATATATATATATAATATTATGTTGTGCTAATATTAACTATATATATATATAGAGTCATAGAGTCAAAGTAAAAATCCAATTGTCATATCATATCTATTCATGTTGATGAAACACCCAATTTCGTCCGGAGACAATCGTGACTTTTGACCCTGAAAGTCACCATGGCAGGTTACTCTCCCAACCACTCATGGCAGGGTTGGTTGGAAAATGTTTGTCGTGCGGATGGCAATCCCAGTAATTTTATATAATTAAATAATTTCAACCAAAAAAACCATTTATAGTCCATGTCTGGTTTGTTATTGGGTTTACATCCCAAATTCCCAAAATGGGCCATTACCATGTCTTTGGGATTCTTTGGGTACGTTTGAGATGCCATAGATTGCATCATTACTCCATTTTACCACATCAATCTACAAAAAAAATCATGAATCCCAAAATACCACAACTCTAAAGTCCCAAAAAAAAGGTCCCGCACCTGGTTGCCCAAGCGCACCACCACATAGGGATCCGAAACGTCGCCAAGCAGACCCGTGTCTTTGTTGGTCAGGTTATAAGCAGCCTGAGGGACATGGGTTGCCAATGGTTGCCATGGGTTGGATACCCCAAAATTGGCTATCTAACGAGGAAAAGATGGAAAAATATTGGAAAATTATGGGAAAACATAGGAAAATGAACATATGAAAATAATTGAAAATATGGGAACATGCTGATATTTGAGGATACCCTGTATTCAGAGAAACCTGCGTAGCGGCCCATGTGTAAAGAGATATGACATTGCCATTTGCGGGTATCTCCTACTTTCAGAAAACCCAAGAATCATATATAATTCTTCGTATCAGTATAGTAGAAATCCCAATGAAATATCGCCATTATATTAGCAACGATGGTTAAAACATCACTACGATTGATTAAACAACCCGATTGCTCATGGATATGTCCCCAGGAAATTTCCAAAGATTTCCAATCACATTCCATTCAAATCCCATGTTTCTTGGTTAAATCACCGAATAGAATCCCAGTTAACACCATTGTTGTTGGTGGTTTCAACCCCTCTGAAAAATATGAAAGTCAGTTGGGATGATTATGCCCAGCATATGGAAAAACAAAACATGTTTGAAACCACCAACCAGCCATTGTTGTTGGTTACTGTAAGTCACCGTTTCTGCCACAAAAAGTTCCAGCAATTCATAGGGATTCCGCCGATCGGCTGAAATCCCAGCCATGAATTTCCTGGCGAACGTTCCTGGCTAACCTCCATTCAGATACCATGTAATGTGGATAAAACAATGTCATGTTTACCATCCCCCAGCCATCACCATTTTTATAGGTGGTATATGTTTATCATTCCCAGTCATGGATGGTGTATGACATGTTTTTTTCCACATTAGATAGATATAGATAGATATATGGCAGTGTGTCAAAACCCTGGTACCCCTGGTGAACATCAAAATAGCTGGTAAATGGATGTTCATCCCACTAAAAATGTATCTATAGGTATTGACCCATACCCATATAGATAGATATATAGATGTGAATAGCCATATATTCATCAATATCATCAATTCCAAATTGTACCAGATCTATTCACCAATATCATATGGATACCCACCATATATCATCCCACCATCTATACCCTCTGGTTATTTAACATAGAAAATCACCATTTCAAATAGCTGACCCATCTATTTTCATGGGCCATCTATTCCATGGCTATGTTAAATAACCAGATGGTACCCTCTGGTAAACTAACATAACTATGGAAAATCACCATTTTTAATGGGTAAATTCACTATAAATTGCTATTTTCCATGGCTATATTAAATAACCAGAGGGTAAATCAATGGTATATGTAGATTCTGGTATAGATTTACCCATGATATTTGGTATAATTATACATCATCAATAGATTTACCCATAAATATCATAAATATCACCCCACCCCACCCCTCCACCCCGCCTGCACCGCCAAGAAGAGCGTCCCAGGCCGCTGCACAGCGTTGCCACGGCCGTTAACCGGGGAAGCGGTCGCCGGTGGTGGCTCCGGCAAGGATGGAGCCACCTGCGTGATCTCTGGGGGGGACAAAGCAACCCAGAGAAAAGTGGTGTTAGTTGAATTTATCATTGTTTATTGTGGAATAGTAGCAAATTCTATTGGACATTTAGTGTTCAAAGATGTTCAAAGCCTTTTTTGGGGAGTTTGCTGTATATCAAATGTAGCCATAGGTCGTTAAAGTATACAGCCACTGGGATCCACTGGGACTGTTCAACACCCATCCCATAATTCCAGTTGGATCAGCTGCAACAAAAAACCATAAACAAACTCTATCTCTCGAGAACATGGGGTGTTTCACCACAGCTTTTATGATCCTATAATATCCATTAATATCCTCCTCAACTTACCCAAGAATTTGTACACATATCAACACATCCTGGGTGTCTCAGCCCATCTTTTCTCATCCCATTTTTGGACTCGAAGCATGGGCCAACCCCATTTGTTCACCTGCTTGAAGTTGGCTTGTCCCACTTGTGCATCGAAGTATTTCCGGTGCAGCTCCTCGAAAAACGTGTGAAACAGTAGTACCATCCCGACATTTCAGTTGCGTAGCTATGGAACATCACCCATTTATAATAAGTAAAATAGGTACATCAACTATAAATGGGCCTTTCAAAACTATGTTGAATGAACTATCAAAACAATAAAATGACCCATTTGATGATCTACTTATAGCATCTTATAGCTATCTAGAGATGATTTACATTGATTTACTGTACTCGGTGAATTATAAAGAGATGTGTTTCGAAAGACAATGGACAATGAAAAAACTGGACTTCAGGTGCGGTGCAATTCACTGGGAAGCTGACTGCGGCCTGCCGGGATTGATGTGAATCCCGGGTAGTAGCAAGTGCTTAATCTATGTCATATATTTCTTTGAGTAAACAACCCCCTCTAAACTGGGTAAATAACATTTTGACAACCATTATGATACCACGTGTCATAAAATAACCGTAGTCAGTGTCTGGTCAATAGCCATACTTTTCCATACTTAACATTTCAAAAAAGGAAGCTGGGTCACACATTTGAAGGTCTAGCCAAGGCACGTAGTTCAGCATTTGGAGTTTCTCCTACGGCGAAACTGGCTGTGTTGCGATCTGGATCTGGTAATCTCATGAAGATGGCGACCAGTATGCCCCCCAAAATAGCTATTTTAATGGAACACAAGAACTACGGAATTCTGGGGTACGCCAGTTTCAAACAACAGCACGTGTATTTATAGATCAACAGTACCTACATCATCATGCATCTGCTACTTATCTGAAAACTAATGTTCTTAAATCGTGTCGCAAATGTGCCGAGCATTTCACAGAAAAACAACACATACTCTCCAGTTTTATCTTGAACACCTGTGACCTACTTGGTTTCCCAACAAATAGACTTATAGGCATGAAATGGTATGCAGCAAAATGAGCTGGGATCAGATGTATGGTTGCAAATGATTTTTTTTTACCCATGTTACCATGTGATTTTAAGTAGATATCAGATTTACCCATATTATATCATATTCCTTAATGACCCATTGAAGACACATAGATGATTTACCCAGCACCAGCCGTTCACCAACGCCCTGCTTTTCGCGTAAGTGTCACCTGTGTCTCTCTGGTCTGGTACTGGAGGGTGAGCTCGCCAGCTTCTTTGGAGATGTTGAACTTGCGTCCTCACATTGGCTGAATGGCTGCCAACATTGGCTTGGTCGCTTGGTCTTGGTCTGTTTCTGTCAATTATATGTGATTTAATATAGTGTATATATATATCATAGATAAACTGTTGTGTATCAATCTATCATATATATATATATAATGATGTTTCTATGTTTCTGTTTTTATCCAGGGATCAGCAGTAAACCATGCCGAAGCCTGCCAATGTCAAAAACAGGATTTATGGGTTCCTTGAATGAACAAGAGGAGTGGGATTCGATCAGGGGACATTTCAAGATATTTCAGGTATAATGCTTAAATTGGAGCTACCAACATACTTCATAGCAGCTAGCTATGATCTGCACACTACATTCACGGGTCTATGTAAGGTCCACGTCTATATCAAGCGGGATATGGTCCCCAAATATCGTTTGTTTGGCTCAACTCTTTGACGACATGTTCTTCAACAGTTGGATAATATGTATAAAATAAGATTATCAGATTCCTCACCAATAAAATAGATCGCCAAAAAAATAGATCATCAACTTGCTCTAGGTGGAATCGCAATGGGCGATCCTAAATCATTGATATACAGTACTCGTGTCAATGGTCACCCGCCTACGCCATCCAACCCTTTTATTTTACTCGTTGATTGAAGGGACATGTCACTGAAATGTCATAATGGTTCAAAACTCATCAACAAAAATCAACTGTTCACCATTCATAGTGGTGAAAAAAATATTGACAAACCACATTTTCTGTTGGTCGAATCTTAGTGTTGTTACTGAAAAATCATGTTACTTCACAACCGCGATTAAAAAGGCCGAAAAGTAAATTCCAATCTCAAAATCATCATCAATTGAACCTTTTCTATCTTTTCAAGGGCAAGTCTAAGTTTGATTTCTTTAGCTGTTGCCAGGTTGTCGCCGAGAAACGCATGGCCGCCTTGAGCAGGGCCAAGGTGATCAAGAAAACCCGTTGAGCTACAGTATAAATGTGGGGTTCACCCCATGCCAGAAGCCACCCCCAAGTCACCATATTTTTTTTATGGGGATTTCAACCATCCCCAAATTGAGAATTGTTTATGGCATGGGCATATGGGCATGGCCATATTTTCTGGAGAAAGTCCCTGAAATTTCGCCCTTACATGCCTTATATATAGTAGGTACCTCCAATTTAGGTTCCTGAAATGGCCATTGATTATTTGATTAAATTATATACATAATAGGAGCATTACACACTGGTATGTATGTATAAATAGTAAACATGTGCTCTGACCTGGTTCACCTTATTTTTTGTCTATGGTTTTACAAGCTTTTTGCACTGCATCATAGTCCAGAAATTACGATCTGAGCATGTTGGGTGTGTCTGAAAATTGTGTATATATGGAAAACTCATGATTAACCAGTGGATGGAACGGGGAACACATTTCGAGTATCAGAGAGGGAAGGGAATTGAACAAACATAAATGGGAAGGTTAGGCAGGTGAAGCAACAGTTCATGGACTCACGGGAAGATAATGGGAATAGTTCACCAAGCTACCAGGGTTTTTGACCAATACCCAATGAAATGAATTAAAACCACAATATGCAGATGCAGATTTACTTGGTTAATACTCATACAGTAGTTGTTGATGGAGAAAGGTACATGTATGAAATAATTACACACTTTGGTTTTGAACGATGACAATTCTGACAACAATGAGGACATCCATGGATTTCCCGGCTCTTTGACATGGGAATGTGAATCGACAACATTTTATTGTTTAAAGAGCAACTATGATAATTGGACCAACAGAAAGTGATGTGAAATAAACTAACATAGGCATACCACCTCAGAAAGAAAAAAAACAACTGGTAATCATTTACCAACAAACATTGGCCTTATTTGGCTTGAGTGCCATTGCTTGCTGCTTTCTCCCCCTTCAACTGAACAACAATCGTTGCAATATTGTGTTTGAACAAACCAGTTTGTTGGCTTTGCTCACGTGTCTTTTTACGGCTGGAAAGCCAAGAACTGAAATCTATACGTTATACTTATCTATATGTATATATATAGCTGATTAGCATATATTCCCTCATGAGTATAGCCCGAAAGTAATCAATTAACATGGATTTAACCACCCTTCATCAATGAGTGGCTTGGAAACACCATACCTTTTTTAAACAATGGAAAAAGCAGACACACATTAATATTAAATATTGAACATGATGTTTATTTGTAAAAAAAAATCACTTGGGAAATCACTTGGGAAATCACTGGAAACCTTAATCCTTCAACTTCTTCTGGAAATCACTTGGGAACCCCCCACGTTCTCCCCCCAGCTGCGCCGCCTGTTGCAGAGCGAGCAGCTGCTCGTCGTGGCGGCGATCCACTTCCATCTCTTGCTTCACCAGCTCCTGGCAACTGGCGATACCTTTAGCCATCAACGAATGGGCATCTTAGTGGCTTATTACATCTTATTACTGTAGATCTTATGAGTGGGGATATTGATGGGATTTAATGGGATTTATCGGGATTTAGTACGATGTAACATTATTTAATGGTATTTGAAACGGATTTTAGCCATCAACGAATAGGGATTTAATGGGATACACATGGAATATCAATGGGATCTTAATGGGATATGAATGGGAACTAGATAACCAGCAATTGGGTAATCAAACATGGCTGGCTGGAAACAATCCCCATCAAAAATGGAGGTTGACATAGCGATGGAGTTTTAGTTCGGGAAAACCACGGAACTAAATGGATCTAAATGGCATGTTTTTCTGCAAGCCATGTTTTATGAACGGATGGTAATTTGAATCCTCCAGCTCAACGCTAGTACTGTAGATAAACAAAAACATACTCGACAAATACATGAAGCAATCATCAGGCATCACATCATAGATCAATTAATACTGAGTAATTCATGTATATAGTTAAATGGATACGGAAACGAAGGACAACTGCAAGACATATGCATTATCGCGTGCACTTCTGTTTGTTGAGGATATATCCATATCACATGTCCATATATATCTATAATACGGATATATATATATAATACAGTATAGTATCCATAGCTAGGTTTCAGACCGTTTACATCCACTGATTTATCAGAAGTTTTGTCAGGAGTTGCAATGCCTGAACGCAGCATCAACGATGGGTAAGTCATTGATGGTCGATGGTCGATGTTTTGGAAACCTGATGAAACTGCTGATACTAACATCAGAACTTGGAGTATTTAAGCGAGAAACACCTCTGCCTGGGTGGCTAGGGGACAACAAACGATGTTCTGTGTTCGTAAATACGAGCCACGCTTTTTCAAACGATGACAACATTTGCAAAGGGTCTGCAAGCGAAAAAGTAGGAAGTGACCCGCAGTCAAAGTGCCAATACCTCCAGTAATCTGCTGGAGCAGTGGAAAATTCCCCATGCATATCCAAATGAAGAATGGTAATGGTTGTCCAAATGTTTTCCAATATAGATCTAACATGATCTAACGTTCATATTCTCCATTTACATCGAAAAATGCCAGGTTGCAAATGATTCCAATGACTCTCCTGATCCCCAAATCGGATTCAGAGGCCTGGTCAATGGAGGCATGGGCTTGCCTAGCAAGGAACTCGTGGTGTGAAATCACCAGTTGCTGGTGGGAAAATGGGGGATTCTGGTGGGGATAGGTGATTTTCGACATGGATTGAAGATGATTTTGGCCTAAGTTCACCACGTTCCCCATGGTGAACTTACCGACATGACTTTCAGTAGGCGAAGTGGCAACTTATCCAACGATCAAGTCATTGGAATGACATGTTACAATCCCATTACATGAACTTTCTGTGGGACATTATAGCAAAGAAACATCATCATCTGAATCAATGTTAATTTTTGTTTTTGTTTTTGTGACGTTTGTGTTTTTCCTTGAAGTAGGGATGGAACATGTCACATGTTTCAACCCACCCAGCCAAATCTTGGGTATTTGGCATTTGACTTGGAAGTGTTCGGCAAGTGGCACACCAGAATATACCAACTGGGTGCAGATCATCTAAATACCCCAAAGGTTCAGAGTTTAGCGTCCAAACCAACTAGGGAAAAAGCAGCAACATATCTCAGCTGTACATGTATATTAATACAAATACAAACACATGCGCTAATACATGACACCGATAAATGCGTAGGTTTGATGTTAGGTACCTGGGTACCCTGCGTTTTGTCTTAGTTGGTTCAACATAAAGCTGGGATTTGCTGAGGAATCCCTCAGAAAATAATAAAGACATGTGTCCATTGGATGTCCCATTAATACTACTTAAGGGATATCCACTACTTGGGGAAGATATGTATATATATATACATATCATTATTATTGGGGAACATATCCCAATTAATATATATGTATATATACACATATCTTCCCCAAGTAGTGGATATCCCATTGGGAAAATGAAAAACCATCTTCAGCAAATCCAGGTAAGTTGTAAACACAACATTGTAACATTGACCAAAGTTTCCCCAGTAACTCCCAATTCAAGGCGAAAAGCGAACAGCGCGATTTCGCCTCTTGCACTGATCGTTCTTGGCGCGTAAGTACCTCAGGTCTCGCCAATGTCCTCAAACGTGGCTTGCTGGAAAATCCTCATTTAAGATTTAAATTCGAGGATTTTCCAGAAAGCCACGTGTGGATAAAATATATCAAAATATATTGACATATAAATATAAAATATATAAACAGATCATCCAATATAATCCATGATATATGAATATATATATATAATATAATATGATATATCCCAGTTGGGGGCCAACGCCACACCCGTTTACCTTGATATGCTGGCTTCAGTTGGATCGTTCCGGGAGTGCTTGAGGAGGAAACTGAAAAAGTTAAGTGCATCTATGAGCAAGAGAATTGGCAGCACATCAACTAAATGGAAAAACACCAATGACACGAACTGGAAACACATCACATTTACCCTGTCGTGTTTCAACCTCCGCCATGACAGATGTGCTCGGCCAACCATGTGGATACACCGTGATACCACATAGTTGGCTAAGTTGGTTTATAAAACTAAGTACATTCTTGTGGACTTACATAGCTATGGAAAAGAGTTTTGTTTTTGATTATGTACAGTACCTCTCAATATACAATGGTGATTGATTTTCCATATAAGTTTACTGGATGGTTAAATGAGGTTTTAAACTTATTAACTTATTATATATTAACTTATGGCAAATATGCTATATATCCATATCGAATGCTAGTTATTTATGTTGCTCAATTGGCAGAAGATCCAGGGACCCATGTTTGGCCGTTCCCTCTCATGGCAAAACAAACCTGTCTGCGCAACCGATGTAAAATGTCCTGGTGGCATCAAAATACAGTAGATGAATGTTCTGAATGTTCTGAATGTTCTGAATCCTCCTCACCTCATTCAGATTGAAAATCATGCTAATCCATCCTCATGTCGAATCCCAAGGTACTCCAGATTCGCTTGATGCTTCTGTGTAAGTGTATGCACTTGTTGTCGCACTTGCTCCTGGCCATGGTTACCAGTTGAAGCCACCAACCAATAGGTGTTGTCATGAAGTGTCTTGGGACTCGAAAGAGAAACAAACAACACAGCACATGCTGCAAAAAAGGGACACCTACCAGCTTGCAGGTTCTGCCTTGACAGTCAAGTTTCAAGGTTTCAAGTGTGTGAGTTTCGCTCCACGCAACTTGTTCAGGTGCCAGCTTCACCTTCCTTTTGTATCGGCCCAATCCCAATTGATAGGGAGGGACCGGTTTTCACCTTGATGGCTATGCACTGGCGCATAAACAACTGCGCCGCGGCTTTGCACTTTCTACTTTGACCTGGTTCACTTCGAGCGGGACTCAGGCGAGGATCAACCTTTGTTTGCAACCATCCTCAAATTGGTAGGCGGAGCCCCGTGAAGGGGCCGCCGAAGATGTCTGGCTCTAAGCAGGAGACAGTCAGCCCTGACACTTTGAAGGACAACTACATCCCAATTTTCAGCAATCGACCAGCTGACTACAGGGAGTATCGAGCCCGTGTCTTGCTCTACAAGATGAAGATGAAGCTACAAAAGAAACCCAAGGAAGCAGTGATCAATCTGCTCACCTCCCTGACGGGAGCAGCCTGGAAGCTTGTTGAGCGTGATGCGGAGAAGTTGATTGAGTCTGAGAGTGGCTTTGATGATACCATCGCACTACTTGACAGGAGTTTCAAGTACAATGACCGCGTGGAGTGCCCGAAGGCCATTGACCGCTTCTTCTACCAGTTGACCCGAAGGCCAGAGCAAACCTTGATGTCCTTTGCCACGGAATTCCGTGACGCGAGACAGGAGATTGAGAAGCATGGCATTGTCATCCCAGAGGAGATCAGAGCGTACACACTTCTGAAGCGAGCCAATCTGACCCAGGAGCAGCGACAACTCGTGCTGACAAAGATTGGCGATAGCAGAATGACTGAGAACGCAGTTGAGGAAGCCCTCTACTACCTCCTCGGCCAAGACTACCGAGGAAGAACAACTTTTGACCAGCGTGGAAAAGGAACACACAGATCATCCCAATGGACAAGACGGCAGACTGCCTATGTCGCTGACGAAGACTTCGATGATGAGGCATACTATGAGACTGCCGATTTCTACGGCGATGATGCTGATGACACACAGTATGACGAGGTGTTTGAGTCCAACGACGTCCTTGAGTTTGAGGACGCCTATGAACATGAAGACGGCATGACGGCGGCCGAGGACTACTACCCAGACTATGATCTGCCAGAAAACAACGACCCTGAGGCCGAGGAAGCATATGCGACCTACTTGGACGCACGACGAAGATTTGCAGAAATCAAAGCCAATCGTGGCTTTTGGCCCGTGGTGGCTCTAGGTCCTGAGACAACCACCAGCTCATCCTCCCAGCAACGTCCTTTCCCTCCCAACAACAAGGGCGGCAAGAAGGGCAAGAACAAAGGAAAGGGCAAAGGAGGAGGAAAGAATGCATCACCACCACAGAAAGGCGATGCGAAGTCTCGAGGACGAGCAGCACTTGGTGGCGACAACAACGTAGTTTGTCTTCGTTGCAACCAACCTGGCCACTATGCAGCCGACTGCCCACAACGCGCAACTCGACCCAACAACTCAGGCAACAATTCACCAGCCAAAAAGACCAGAACCACCAGCCACTCTGCCTTCATGATCCATGACGACAGCACCAGCACCTACATCAACACTACCACACCTGACCTCCACTACTACGCGACTCAGGATGGAGGAGCAAGCACCATGGTAGCTGGCCACCACACCTTGATGGCCTACCTGCAACATGTTCACAACCTTGGTGTCCCAGTGGAGCATTTCAGGTTTCGAGCGGCCGACAAGCTCTTCCACTTTGGCGGCGACACCGAGATGCACTCAGCCTGGTCTGTGCACATGCCAACCTTCATCAACGGCATAGCTGGGCGAATCCAATGCTTCATCGTGGAGGGCGCCACACCACTTCTGGTCGGCAGACCAATTTTGAAAGCTCTCCAGCTCAAGGTCGACTACACGACTGACACCTATTCCACAGATGGCATAAACTGGCAAAAGATACCACTTGGCAAGCGACAGGAGCACCTACTACAACTTGACGACCTACAGACAACAGAACCTTCCACCACTGACTACCATTACGACCTTGTGACAACTGAGACCTACGAGGTCCTCAACAACCATTCAACTCACAACGACGATAACACCTACGACCTCAACCACTACATCACTACAACTGGCAGAAGCGCCCCAGACGTCGCCATGACTTGCTACGATGATACAACCACCACTCAACCATCAGTTGTAACTGTGAACAACACTACCACTCACGACAACAACAACACCACTATCCACGACAATCAACAAACAACACCACCATACAACACCGACCACGACCTGGTCAGCAGACCACTCACCAGCAAGATGCTTGACAGCATCCAATACCACATCTCCACCACCGAGAACAGAAGGCAAGCAGCAATTGAGAGCATCCTCAGAGCTCACGATAGGAAGCAACTCCAGTTCTGGGAAGTCTACTCCGGCAGTGGCAACCTTGCCAAGGCTATGCAACAGCGCGGCTACAGTGTCCAGATATTTGATCGGGCAAATGGCTGGGACTTCACGTCCTCACAACACAGGCAGCAGTTCATGCGCTTGTACTACCAAGTCCAGCCCGATTATGTCTGGCTAGCACCACCATGCAAGAAGTGGTCTCCACTTCAACGACTTGCAGTCCGCAGCTCAGCACAAGCAGAATTTCTACAGGCCACTCGTGATTACGAGGAACACACACATTTGGCATTCACCAGCAAGGTGTTTCGCAAGCAACAGCAAGGCAAGCGACATGGCACCATTGAGCAACCACAGCCCTCAGCAGCATGGGAAACCACAACCTTCCAACAAACACCCGGGTATGATGCCCTCATCCACCAGTGCCAATACGGCGCAACACTACCAGACCACCAAGGGCAACCACAGTTCATCAAGAGACCAACAACTCTCAGATTCACCGATCAGCGCCTGGCCCAAGCCTTCCACTGGACATGTCGCGACAACCACTATCACCTTCCGATCGAAGGCACCTCACCTGGCACTGGTTCCGGAGCAGCAGCAGCGGGCGTCTATGCCCCAGTAATGTGTGCACAATGGGCACAGCTCATAGATGAGTTTCTCCACCACCACTACGTCACCACCGAGAGTGCATACCAAGGCAACAGCGACGAGGAAGCAGAGCCATCAGCAGCACAATCACAGGCTCCATCAGAGCGACCAGCAGAAGCAGCCATGCAGTAGAGCAAGCACCCACAACAGACAACACTGGCATTCTCACACGTCTCGACAAGACCAACAAGCAGGCAGCAGAGCGCACCATACAGCGACTACACAGGAACCTTGGACATCCAACAAACAAGGAGTTGACAAGACTCCTCAAGAGCCGCAATGCCAGCAACAAGCTACTTGAAGCAGCAGCAAACCACCACTGCGACCTATGCTACCTCCACAAACCACCACCACAACTATCCAAGAGCACGCTACGACACGGCACCACCTTCAACGACCGCATACTGGCAGACACACTTTGGATTTCAACCAACAGCCACAACAAACAAGACACCAAGAAGGACAAGACCATCCCAATCCTTGCCATCATGGATGCTAACACCAAGTTGATGGCCGCACGAGTCCTCGATTCGGAAAAGACTCCAGACTTCATCCAAGCTCTCGAACGAGCTTGGATCCGACACTTCGGACCACCTACAACCCTACAAATCGACGACCACAGAGGATGGTCCAGCGAGGCCCTTCGCAATTGGGCATCTGACCACGGGGTCTTCCTCAACATCAACCCAGGACAAGCACATGCCCGCCTGGGGCTACTCGAGCGGCGACATCAGGTTCTGAGACGAGCCGTCGAATTATACCTGGCAGACAATGCAACACCAATCACCAGAGACAGCATCTCACAGGCACTCACATACGTCATACCTCAAATCAACAACACACCCAATTTACAAGGATATTCAGCAACACAATGGACATTTGGATTTGTCCCAAAGCTACCAGGCCACCTGATGGATGAAGACCTCACCATTGCCCAACTCACCCCCAGTGAGCAAATGCTCCACAAGCTCCACCTGAAACAACAAGCAGCTACAGCCGTCACAAAGGCTGACAACGATGCCCGGCTCAGACGAGCCCTCCTACGACAGCACCAAGCACAGCAGCACATCTTCCACACAGGGCAAGAGGTGTTTTATTGGCGTGACGCGCCAGGAGGTGCAGGACCAAAAATCCGGTGGAAGGGCCCAGCCATCATCACGATGGTCGAGCCAGGCCGGGCAGGTCCAACCACAAACAACTACTGGCTTGTTCACGGCACAACTCTTCTCAGAGCATCAGCAGAACACCTACGACCAAATACACCCCACACGACCACCACCGATGACCCCACCACCACTACCACACACAAAGCAAAACAAGCACTCGAAGCAGTGCGCAACCGAAGCACAACACTCTACTACGACCTCAACAAGAGCAACAAAAGGAAAAGGGAAGAAGTTGTGACCGAAGATGAGGAAGAGGACGCCATTGAGCAAGAAGCACCGCCACCAGATCCCGACGGAGATCAACCAATGGCCATCGTTGACGCAGCGGATCACTGGGACGTCTCCGAAGACGGCATCACTTGGATCCGAATTCACGTACAACCACGACGTGAACTATTTGTGCCCACTGAAGACCCCAATGTGCCATGCCTGACATTCAGGAATGATAGACTCACAACCATCAGGAGATCACCGCCACACTCCCAGAGGTTTGTGATGCAAGATGACTGGACTGAAGAGACTGCGGGCCGCGAGATGCCCTACAACTGGACAGGCACCACCACCTTCACAGTCCGAAGCAACCACAATTCTACCCACACTACCACAACACCACCAACCACTACCAGCAATTTCCCAACCGTTCTGAACACTCCTACAACAGAGGATATGACCATAGAAACAGACCATGAGCCCAATCACAGCGCAGATCTACCAGCAATTCCACCAACACCAACTGATTCAACAGGGACGACAGAGCCACAACATGAGCCAGATCCACCAACCACTGCGGCAACACTCCCAGCAGCAAACACACCAGCCATACCTGCGCACCAACAACAACTCTACCAGCCCAGGCAGCCGGGCGAAACCTTTGAACAACTCAGAGCACGAGTTGACAGGCAAGAGACATTGTCTCTCTACCAGCCACACCATGGCATGGTCACCTATGGCCCCAACAGAGAGACCTTTGCAAGAGAAGAACGACCACACAATACCAGCACACCTTACCACAGAGCAACGCAGCCTGAGGAGAAAGACATCACAGAGCAAACATACCACACCTACGATAACATCGACCTACTGTCAGACTCCAACCAAAGTCTCCCACCTGGATGGCATATCATCAGCGATGGCACCATTGAACTCGGTGACACTCAAGACGAGTGGCAACTCAAGAAAGGATGGCTCATTAGGAAGCACTACTTGGCACGAACCAGCAAGTATGAGCCAGATGAGGCCACTTGCCCCATACCACTTGCCTACCTAGGCAAAGACCGGGTCACGAAGTACCCAGCATATACAAGCCATGACAGATGGCGCAACAAGCGTGACACCACACACCAGCAGCAACAGGAGGAAGCACAGCCATGGACAGGTAGCACCTGTTTCAAAATCCTCCAGGCAAGTCGGCAGCAAGCAGCAACTTGCTTCTACACAGCAAGCAATGGCCACAGCACATACATTGAGCCTAGCAGCACCAACACCAGCAAGAACAAACGTCAGCCACAAACAAAGGCCAAGGCCAAAGCAAGAAAAGAACAACTCAGTGAGAAAAATATGACCCTGGAAGACCGACTCAGCTTTGCCGAAGCAAAGAAAGCAGAATTGGCATCTTTCTTCCAAAATGATGTGTGGGAAATTGATGACCAAAGCAGTGCTCCAGAAGGAAGAGTCTTGAAGGCCCACTTCATCCTAAAGTGGAGCAAACATGCCGATGGCACACCACGCGCCAAGGCACGCCTGATCACCCAGGGGTTTCGCGACCCCGACGCCCTCGCAGGTGTTCTCACAACAGAGTCTCCTACACTCAGCCGTTTAGCACGCAACTACATCCTGGTCATAGCAGCAATGAACGGCTGGCTCACATTCTCAGCAGACATATCCACAGCCTTCCTCCAAGGCAAAGAGCACGAAGCAAGCAGAACCCTGTGGATACGACTCAGCAACGAAGCAAACAGAATGTTGGGCCTACCAAGCAATGGCTCAAAGCTTCTACGACTGAAGAAACCTATGTATGGGTTGTGTGATGCCCCACGAGCATGGTTCCTAGAAGCCAAGGAACGCTTGATTTCACTAGGTGCACAACAACATCCACTGGACGCATGTCTATATCTACTTTACGACCACAAAGCACCGTATGAACAATGGACCACCACCACAGACAGCAAGGGCAATCAACACACATCACCACCACTCTGTGCCATTTTTGGCCTACACGTTGACGACATCATCGGCTGTGCCAACATCAACAATTCCACCTACCAGCACTTCAAAACACAACTTCAAGAACGGTTCAATTTCAGAACCTGGGAGGAAGGAGTTTCCTTCGAGTATTGCGGTGCACAAATCAACAAAATATCACCCAACCACTACACTTTGGAACACACCAAGTACCTTTCGAAGCAAAAACCCATCAGTTTCACTGATGATAACAAGGACAGACCAGTGACTGAGAAAGAAAGAACCAACTTGCGAGCAACAATCGGAGCACTACAATGGCCTTCGGGCCAATCAAGCCCACACCTACAGGCAATGATCTCTCAACTGGCAGGTCAGGTTACCACAGCAACCACAAACACCCTGAAGGAGGCCAACAAAATCCTTCGATTCGCAAAGCAACACTCGGATGCCAGTTTGCAATTCCAAAAGCTGGGAGAAAGAGCAGACGTCACCTTCACAGCATACTGTGACGCAGCATTTGCATGCAGACACGACAACACCTCCCAAGGAGGATACCTTATCCTCATGACGCACAAAAGCATCAAAGATGGAGCAGCAGTCCCCTACTGCCTAGTCGACTGGCGCAGCTGGAAACTACCCCGTGTAGCACGCAGCAGCTTGAGTGCCGAAGCACAAGCAGCGTCAGAAACAGCAGACGCCATGATGTACAACATCACCTTCTGGCAGCTAATTTGGCACCCAACACTGGCAATCGACGACATGACCGCATGTCAGCTACCACACAAGCCTTGCATCGTTACAGATGCAAAAGCACTATACGACCTACTCACGAAACAAGAGCTCCAGCCAAACAGTGGAGCAGACAAACGAACGTCTGTGGAACTACTCGTTACACAAGACAAGCTCAAATGCATGCAGGCAGAGACAAAATGGGTCTCATCAGAACTACAATACGCAGACGGCATGACAAAAGCATCAGCAGCAGCACTACTTGCCCAGCGGCTACGCACACACTACACCAGCGTCAAGCCCGACGACCAGTTCATAGCAGCAAAAAAGAAAAGCGCAGCAGACAGAAAGAAAAGCGCTGAGCAGTTTGCACTGCGAAAACCCCAACGAGCAATGCAAGCCTTACTTGCCACAGCCTACCTAGTAATGCAGTCAGACTCACAATCACTTAGCAGCGACCAACTGACACAACTACCACCACACGACCCTGACCAACTCACCTACTTCGACCTCACCTTCATCATTCTTATCACCTTTGCAGTGATCATCATCCTTCATCTACTCCTGCGACTCAGTTACGCTACATTCAGACGTATGACATCGCCCTTGTCTATGACATCTACCAATGAGGTGGAAACGCAGACAACCAGGGAGGATCCTGACCTCCAGCAACAGCTGGAGCGAGTCCAGCGGCAGCTTCAGCACCTGGAACAACAATACCAGCAAGAACACCACAGATCCCAGAGGCTAGAAGAGCACCTCAACCTTTTCAAAAGGAAGTATGCCACCGAGCTGGAAAAGAACAAGGAGATACATCTTCGTGCCAAGGAAGCACGAGACACGATGGCCGCTGATGTTCTCAGCCGCCAGACAAAATTCAACCAAGTTGTGGACCGTCACGTTGCAGCAGGAATAGAAAAGGCAGCCAACAGACCTGTGCACTTTGCACCCCACGGTACTGTGTGGCATGCAGACCCACAGTGTGAAGCCTTGACCAGGCCAAACACGACCAAGTTCAGCAGAAGACCTTGCAAGGTGTGTGCCCACACTCTAGCACCACGAATTCCAGATGGAGAAGTGCGAGAAGTCCTAGCGAGATGCTTCCGAGACCAATCGCTCTCTCGAGCTAGCACTGACTGAGTGGCCATGTATACCGTTTCTAGTAGCGATATTTCACCACCCGTGTGAGTTTCGCTCCACGCAACTTGTTCAGGTGCCAGCTTCACCTTCCTTTTGTATCGGCCCAATCCCAATTGATAGGGAGGGACCGGTTTTCACCTTGATGGCTATGCACTGGCGCATAAACAACTGCGCCGCGGCTTTGCACTTTCTACTTTGACCTGGTTCACTTCGAGCGGGACTCAGGCGAGGATCAACCTTTGTTTGCAACCATCCTCAAAAAGTGTAAATTGGACTCATCCCGAAAGTTGCAAAGCAGAAACGTGCGGAAGGGCCGTAAGGACCCCATTGCCGCCAGGCCGAAATAGCTGGTTCTGCGTCTTCCCCATTCAAGCCATGGTCCCATTCAAGGAACAATGAGGAGCCCAACAACGCAATTCAAATGGGAAACAAACAATGACTAGCAAACTGAATCTAAAGTGGATTTTGCATCCTGAGGCTACTCCAATTTTGAGAAAAGACAACATGACACATCATGAGATCAGATCTGCCCATCGGTCAAGGGATACCCCACAGATCAAGGCGACGTCATTCTGAGGTGATGAATCCGAAAAACCCCGACGAATCCTAGGGGCATATCAAACCTATATATATATATATATTGTTTTGGGGGAGCATGTTTTGTTGTTTTTTTGGCATATATCTTGGGCTTCCGTTGGACAGTCGCCCATGAGCCATAGTATCGAGTCCACCAAACTCAAACAAACCTCCATATATTGGGTTGCTTTCTCCATAGAATACCAGCGGGCAACCAAACATGGGCTTGGATATTGGCTTTTCAATTTGAAAATCATGAGTTACCCTCTGGTAATTTAACATAGCTATTGAAAATGGTGATTTATAGTGGATTTACCCATTGAAAATGGTGATTTTCCATAGTTATGTTAGTTTACCAGAGGGTATATAATGTGGGATTGTCCATTGCCATCATGTTTGTCTCCTAGATTCCTAGAGGGTACTCGCAGTTTACCAGATCTTCATTTGCAAATGCAAAATGACTGTGGATTCTTTCATGAAAACACCTCAAATATACTCATTGATCATAAATGGGTTTGTCTGAGAATGGGATATATACCCAATTTATTGGAACATGAGAATAACCCGCCAGTTTTTACTGGGGAAAATGATGATAACCATGTAATAACCCATTGGTACCATGGGGTACCCTACGTATGTTCAAATCCAAAAATCTACCCCCTGACCCTTTGAGTCCTGCAGTGACTTTAGATATTCTTTCCTCCTTGGCGTGGTTTGGCATTCGCATCCCGAAAAGATTTCGCGATTGTTTCTATGTGTATTTAAAAAAAAGGTGGTATAAACGCAATCATTAACCATTCCCAATATCAACATCATTGGTTAGTCAAAACCCACATTTGGAATGTAGTTCATCGCTGTTTTCTTGTTTCTCGTTTTGTCGAAATCTCCAATCGTTGTTAGAGCCGCCTGGCGGCATTCTTTTTCACCCCCATGGTCCAAAATACTGAAGATGTCCATTTTTTCATCAGCATGTTCCTCGAATTGTTGATAGTTTATAGATTATCTGGTTGGTGATGTAACCATCTTGAAAAATATGAGTTCGTCAGTTGGGATGATTTTTGCCCATATATGGAAAAATAACAATTTGTTCCAAACCACCAACCAGTTATGTACAGTACCTCTCAATAATGGTGATGTTCCATTGCTATGTTAGTTTACTGGATGGTTAAATGATGTTAAATCATTACGGAATCCCGCAATATATGTTGCTGGCTGGTGCAAATTACCATGAGTTTCACAGCTTCCCCGATTGTTATAAGTTATATTGGCTTGGACATATTATACCCATTACTCAGCATAAATGGGTATAGTTTCACAGCAATATGCTGGAGCAGCTGTTCTGTTCGCCTGATTTCCCATGGAATTGGTTGACAGGACAGAATCCACTATGGCCTGGTATATTATAATATAATATAATATAATGTAATATAATGTAATAATATAATATAATATAATATACTATACTATAATATAATAATATAATATAATATAATATAATATAAGATTATAATATATATATATATATATGTCACACCAGTTAAATTTGTATTGTCTGGTTTAAATCTGAAGAATACTTGGGGATCACGGATCATAATCCAAACATATCCTAAATATGGCTAGCAGCCACCCTCCATTAAATACGTAAAATCTGTGAAACCACCATATCCACCATCAAAAAAAAAGTGACGCCACCATCAATCAACATCTATTCTGACAGCACCATTCATAAATCCCCATGTCTGTTGCTTCCCATGCTCTCCGCCTCTGCTCGATGCGCTCCGGATCTGGAAAGCCGTCCAGAACGCTCGGGGGCGGCAAAGGAGGGCTGCCCTCAGCGCGGTTCCGTGACGATTTAATACACAACTACTGGTGGTACAATGGGATATAGTGGGTCCACAAATGTCCACAATGGGGATAACAACTATGAACCCAACTACAAGCTGGAAGGTGAAAAATACCAACAAATAATGGAATAGAACCCGATACACCAATCATATACCAACAATATTTTCATTATGGGATATAGTCACTTCAGAAGGGACCCTCTAAATGGCCTGAACGGTGTTTTTTTTATGGGTTCATAAAGCCACTACTATAACTAGTTGGTTTGTGGTGGATAGATCGAACTAGTTAGATGTTTTTTTACAGCCACAAACATTAAACTGGGAGGGCCACCTAGTAGAATAGCAGCAGTTTGCTTGTTGTTTGTTGTAAGATACTTTCTCGTTTTTTGTTTTTCTACATGTATATTATTTTAATAAATTGATGACTTGATGTGGGAAGAGTTCTTTATTTTGATGAGGATGGATGGATATGGATAGTGGCATTTTATACTATTATCACAGAGTCTGCCCAATTTTTGGGCACTCAGGTTGGTAAATTGGAGTTATTGGTGGTAAAAAGTGGATCATGACAGTGCAATTCTTTGAACATTCTGCGACGATACTTTGAGGATCATCCCAATTAGCAACAATCCAGTGTGGGATAAGCTGCCCGCTTAGGGGACTAACTGGGGTATTGGCCAGTTGCTAAGTGCAATGATCCTTCTACTATATGTATACAATCTATATATATATTACACATGTATATATATATATATATGTATTACATGCATATACGTATCTGTATGTATAGTTTCTATCCAATTTCATCCGTGTATCATCCCTGTATCATCCCTGTATCATCCCTTTATAGTTAGTGCAACTGATTGGAGCTTAAGCATGAGCAGCATACATTGGATTTTGACTAGTTGCGACGGCCAGTTTGATGACATGAAAACTATATTTCAATGTATATGCATAGACTGCATACACAGTATATGGGGATTTCTTAAAATGGGGGATTCACAAAACCATAGGTTTGAATATGATTGAATACTAACACATACTAACACATACTAAAACGGTCTAATGACTTGGATGATTTGGGGGTACCACCATTTTATGACACCCCCATATGTATACACAGTATACATCAATGTCTGTAAACGCTGAAATGTTGGATATTCTTTGGGATGCTGCATTGTATTAAACAATCACCTATGTAGCTTGCTGGGCCGAGATCACCAATCACATTGCCATTTTTGGGAAGGATGTGTGCTACAATCGACATAGAACACTGGAACACCCAGCATTTATATACAGATAATCTTTTGAAGAAACCATGGAGTTGCATGGATGTTCTTGGAATTTCATGGATTTTCCATATCTATATTGCTTCACAACAGGATTCATGTTGGCAGAGAAGAAGCACCTGGCTATGTTGCCTTTGGCTTTCCAGGCCATTTCTGAGGTCGGCACTATCAGTTGGCCTAGCAGGATGTGCTTGGTGCCACCAAACGAAGATGGATTTGTTTATCCCAACAGAAACAGG